GATAAGAAGGATATAATTAAATCCGTTTCGATCCCCCTCCGTTATCCGGGCTGTATAAATAAATTTTTCCTATATAAACGCGTTTAACTATTATCGCGTTCGAGAAAAATCGAGAAATCCATAACAACTCGAAACAATTCGAACGAGAATTGCGCGCGCAACCGTTTATACGCGTTGTTAAGTTTAAGAGAAGAGGCAGGGGATCAAATGGTCGTAAGATCATAGACGGGGCTACCGAGATCGCTAGAGAGACCGTTAGAGTTAACGACGAGTTCGCTTCCCTTCTCCTTCTCCGCCATCTTTCCGCCTCGCAATTTCTACGAGTGGATATATCCGCGATAGTGCGGTAGCTCGCGGAGGCGGTTAACGATGAGATGAACGATCCGTTCGCAAGAACGAGGTTATGTTTTATAATCGCACCAAATGGATACAAAATGGCCCTTTTACGGTAAATTAAATTAAATTCGATTCTACGTTCCATAGGATAACTCTGTCACTGTCTCTGTCACGTATTGTTGGAAAAGTGCATTTTTGAGCGGAATACTCGATTGAATTAATACGTTCTTTTTATTTGCAGGTGCTTCAAAAGTACGTATGTTTTTATGAATCAAGTTATGTTGGAAGTCAATATTTTTTTTAAAGCTATAATTCTCGATGAGAAAAAACTAAGAATTAAATTTTAATTAGAAATTTGAATAATTAATCGTGTTACATGTAATATTACTTTTTTTTATCATATATGAAGCGTTTAAACGTATTATACGAGCGATGAAATTTACGTCTCTGAATGAGTTATTGAGGATCGAGTGAATGTTTATGCTAGGATACCAGTTACGTTTGTGTGATAAATGATTGAACGCAGCATTTGGATCTCGAACGATCAATCGATTCTTCTTAACCTTTTAAAGAGTTAAGACAGCGTTAAGTGAGAGCGTTTAAAAAAAGAGAAGTAGATTTATAAGTTTATAAGTTTTGCGATTAAAAAATTAACGTGGATAAACGATTGGACGTATCAAAAAACGAATAAAAGATACATTGCTTAATAAATGTTAAAAATTATTATCAAATATCTCAATTCAAACCTCGCTTTAAATTTTATCAAAGAATTGCGATCCTAATTTTTTGAGAATTCAATTTCAACTTGGATAAGAAAAATTCGATCCACTTCTACTTTCGAAAACGTCATTAAATCATTATCGGTCGCGGAATGGAAACGATAGTTTCTCTTGTTATAGCACAAAGACCATGATGCACCGTGTTCCCTTTCGAAGATTTACGGTACGAAGGTGGAAACAGGTACCGTGATAAAACGGATAAAAAGGCATCGCTCGTGATGTAGTTCGTTCCTTGGTTGGACTCGAAACGAGCAAATTGTAGAGTCAAAGATAAATCTCGGCAAGATTTCACACCCTCCGGCACGCCCGCTACGTGTATAAAATCTCCCACTTCTCTCGGCCAAATGCTTTCCACTCTTCCCTCCCGTTCGAAATCGCCATTCTCGAAAAAAAGGAGAGAAAAAGAAAAAGAGAGAGATAAATATTTTACGGCCACGGAACAGGTGCGATTACATTTGAATCGCCCCGATATCGTATCGAACGAATCGTTTATCAAAATCGACGATATATCGATTATCGAAGAATGGAAAAGTAAGGTGACGTAATTTATACGAGCACACGGAACCCGGATTGTGCACGACAACAATGCGCACAATCCTACTGCGCATAACACGAGTGTCCCCTCAATGCTCCTTTAAGTCAAGATCCCGTGCAACCGCAATGGTAGAAAGGAAAATGATTTTATAATAATCGTGAAAAGCTGTATACGCTCTATACGGTTGTAACCAAGGGAATCGTGGGTGTGTTCCTCCAGGCTTGCCACAACCGGGAACAATATGACATTATGGTAAATGAGCGGGGCTATTGTCGTGGAAGGAACGTTATTACGCGTATTATTTCTTAATAAAACTCTCGTCGAGCGGATCAAAAGTTTTTTTTGCCAGTTTCTGATCTGAAAACTGGCCGTTTCATCGAAAGTTACATCGATATATTTTCCGAAGAATAGGGATAGTATATACGATTACGAAAGTATCGTATCGAATTTTTCCCCCTTAAACACAAGGGAATAAATTATAATCCAGGAAAACGCGCGTGGATCGATCTCGAATTTCAGCTAGGTCTGTAACCACATTCGCGTGTCTTCATTTACCGCGTTATACGCAAGAGCGGTCACCCATAGATCCGTATAGGTTGTCCTCAACGTGCACGAGGCGCACTCTATCTAATCCGTGAAAAATTTAATATAAATCGTGAGTGAATTTGTCACCGGGGCAGCAACGTTTACGTAATATCGACCGTGTGCACGAAAATAATTTTGCGCGATTACAAAGCCTGCGTTTATATTATATCCTTTACGATTAATCTGCTAATCGAATATCGAAACGAAATATATTGGAAAAAAAATTGTGGAAAAGTTTTTTTAAAGATATGTATAAATTCGAAGAGAATTTCTTTATTAATTTTGTTTGCTCGATACCTCTCGCACATTCTCTCGCACGTTAAATTAAATATATTCACGAACAGATCGAGTTTTTATCATTTGCAAAGGGTTAAAAAGTTTATAAAAAAAAAAAGTACATTATTGTCGTTGTTATGTGATCAATATCATCATCGTCATCATCATGATTATTGTTATTATAGCGGATCTGAGCAACTATCAAAAAGTTGATGAAGGTATCCATGCGGTAAACCGCAGAGTACCGTGCACTCCTCATTAGCAACCTATATCGGTAGTCGTAGTATGACATGATGCAATCTGACCTTATCGAAAGAGCTGTTGTAACTCTAATCTCATTAGATCCTTTGAAATTTCGATCGAGGATCATTGCTCGTTGAAAATTCAATTTCATCGGGCGAATATCAAAGCGTACAACTTTGATATTGATTTATTATTGTTTCGACAAACCCTGCTGGTTGCTGCTCCACCGGTAAAACAGCACCGGTATCGAGGTAAGAAATACATCTCGTTACAAAAAGATCTCATTAGTCGATTTATATCCGTAAAAGGATTACGGTGGAAAACCTCTGAAACGCGACACTTTACCAACCAACTACGTTATGTAACTACGCTTTATTAAATTTCGTTAAATGTTTAAGAGAATCATGGTATGCTGCAGAATTTTCTGTTCCAAATTGGACGGCCAATTTTAATTTCACGGCTGTTAATTAAAGGATACGATTCCGATCATTGAATATTTAAATTTCTCTTTATATATAAAGATGTTACAGCTTGTTATTAGATTTTTAATTAAAAATCAATAATATTCGATAGATAACGCGTGGAATTTATTATATATATATTACTTTCAAAAGCAAAGTTGGAAAAAATTCCTGATAGTAGTATTATCTATCGTCTTCATGTTTGAAGAAAGAAACTTTGAGCCGATTGAGCTTTTATACAACGAGCACGAACACTTTCGTCCATTACAACGAGTATAATACTAACAGATCTTAGACACGAACGTAACGCTTAGAAAACTGATAAAATTATACGCCACGGATAGTTAAAGGCGATTACATAGCGGAAACGGAAAGTTAGAATCTTAAGTTAAGAAGCGTAGAAGTTTACAAGAAACGCATCTCTCCCATCGTTCAACTATTAAATTTCCGAGTTGGCATTACACCGTTCCTATTGTTCGTGTATTTACATTTAAATCTGCACAATTACATATGTCCATGCGTCCCACTATTATATACAGAGATGTTGCTTAAACATTCTGAAATAAGCACGCGTGAATCCCCTACCGCGATATAGGAGAAGAGGAGCCGAGCGGAATATGCGATTATGCAAAATTGGTATTCGCTGTGGGGTTCCTTGTGTTGATCTTAAATTACGCGAGTTCCTCAAGAAATAAGAAAGAACTATCGTAACTTATAATTATTCTCGAATCGTTTTTTTATATCGTATTATTAAGAAAGAATTTGTTCCTTTTTTTATTTTTCCAACATCAACATGGATGTGATGTTATTCACAAATATGCAAAACGTATCCTATATTTCCATCCAATAATTTACACGCGTATGAATGACATGTGTATGAATTTTAACGATGACGCGTTTTGAAAAAAACGTTTTGCAATTTTATTTAAAAAATAACTTTTGCCTAAAAGTTGAACGGATGAAATAGAGTATAAGATAATGCCTGTGCGCGCGTATAACTATAGAGGCTCGTGTGTGTGTGTGCCAACGCATAGATCTCTTCTGTACCCCTCACGGCTATCGTCAAGTTCAAGGATGCCCTCGAGGTCTAGGTTCACTAAAGCGTGCACTGCTGCGAAAGATTCTCCTCTTTCGGCTCTACTCTTGTAGCTAAGAATTTCACACAGCATTTCAAAAGTGCATATATATTCTGATAGAAAGTATTTTACTTATCTTATATATAATGCTGTCTTATATATAGGAAGTTTTTATATATATATATAAGAGTATATTAATGCTATGCGTGAAGCTATTTTTTGTTAACAGGAAATCTAATATGGAGAGATATATTTCTTTATGGGAGTGAAATCGATCAAAGTTTTGTCACTTTTAATGCTTCGTCATTCTTTTGTAAAGAAAAAATTCCTAGGCAAAATTGTATTGAAAAAAAAGCCTCTTTCAGAGAGGTACGAATTATATTTCTAATTATCAAACAGATCTTACTCTATATAAAAATTGTAAAAATTGTAAAAATTCCGTTACAAATTTCTTAAAAAAAAAAACATCCTTTTTGAAAATTGAACGAATACTGAATCGACGTGAAAAAAGATTAAGTTATTCAACAGATCGATATATCGGTATATCGATGGATTTAACGACATCGTAACTTCGTGAACCAGCTAGAATCTGGATACGAATCTAGGGGGAAGGGGGGGGAGGGATAAAGGAACAATCTGGTTACCACGAAAGCATAAACAAGTCGACCTCCTTGCGATTCCGACGCATGAACTACGCCTTTGCCCTTAAAAGCTCGTGGCAACAATGCCCCCTCTTTCTCTCTTTCTTGGCTCTCTAGCTGGATCTCTATGGAGGATCGCGAAGGCGCCAATGGCGATGATGTAGGTGGATCTGAATGCGGGATAGAGAAAGAGGGAGGGTAAATAGTGAAAGGCGGGGAAGACAGAAAGAGAAAGAAACAGACAGAGAGAGAGAAAGAGAGAGGAAAGTAGTGGACGATCTGCGAGGTTAGGCGCAGCCGTGGTACAGAGTCACTGCACTCCTATGCCCCGTTGCGCACCGCTGAGAGAGGCTCGGCG